TCCAGCTGCCCTCTGGGTAGGTCTGAAATAGGTCTGTTTGTTCATTGTATTTATTTAGGCCTGGTGCTGTTGGGAATAGGAGGAGGTGATGGCCCTGTGAGAGTAAACCTTACCAATATTTATACTTATAAATGTTAAGGCCAAGAGAAAAAAGGCATTGTGTTCATGTGGTCTTTCCAGAGACAGAATGTTTTCGTTACTTACTCAATTCTTATTCTGAGTCCAATCTCTTTAGCTGAATTTCAACTTCTTATAGAATAAAATGAAAAGTCTACCTCAAACTAAATTCTTAATTTGAATGCTTGATCAGAGCTGATAGACTATGGTAATGATTAATTATCCTTAGCGATAATAATTACCCTGTTTCTAATCTAAATAGTTTGTCTCCATGTATAGTTGAGTACATTCCTGAGTTGTTTACAAACTCTACCAATAGCCATCACCCTATTTTGGGGGCAAGGAGGAGGTCAATGTTGAAAGAACACATTCTTTCAGCAATGAATTTCCATTTATAGTTAGGCTTTGAGACACACCAGTTCTCTGGCTTTTGAATCAATGTACTTGTGCCACACTTACAGTGCAGCTTTATAGTTTCATAACCCCAACATCATGTGAAATTAAATCAGATGTCATATCAAGCCTAAAGTTATCACTCCAGCTCTAATACATCTATTTTCCTAACTAGTAATCTCCTCAGAAAAATATCTGGCTAGTTTGACAATATGTGTCTTCCAAAGCTAAGCTTCAATTATTTATTTTAATATTTTATTAATTGAATGAGATCTTCATTATTTTGGCAGGATTTCTATCAGGATGTCAGGCTGTGATTTTTTAGCTCTCCCTGCTTACCTTCTTTGAAATGTCATCACTTTCCTATCATTTTTCACCCAGTGATGTGTTCAATGTACAGAACGACACTTCAAGTTTTAGGAAGAAAAAGCATTTTCCTTGAGTTGTTTTGCACTGTGAAAATAATTTTCTCCATTCAGCTAATTTTGAGAACAGTGAAGAGCAGCCAGGAATGAGTCAAACCAGGAGGCAATCATGCTCTGAGCAGCTGGAGCTGCTCACGTGAGACCAGTGATGGGTGCTGCGGGAGCACCCACCATGGCCAGGCTGGCCAGTCATCAGCTCTCAGTAACCCTGTAGTGATGATGAAGGAACTCCAGGCACCCGAGATGTCCTCCACTGCCTAGAAACACTGCTGCAAATGACAGCAGTACGTGGCTTGTTGTTTCTTTACACAACAAGGGAACAGGCACAATTTGATTCTGAAACCCTTTTGAGGGTTTATAATGTGCTTGAAAGAGATGATACAAAGAAGGAAATGCCCATGAGAATTCACAGAATCACAGAAGTAAGGTTGGAAGGGACCACAATGGGTCATCCGGTCCAACCTCCCTGCTCCAGTAGGGTCATCTGAGAGCACATGGCACGGGATTGCATTCAGACAGTTCTTGAATATCTCCAGTTACGGAGACTCCACACCTCTCTGAGCAATCTGTTCCAGTGCTCAGTCACCCACACAGTAAAGAAGTTCTTCCTCATATTCAGGTGTAACTTTCTGTGCATCAGTTTCTGCCCATTGGCTCTTATCCTGTTGCTTGGCACCTCTGAGAAGAGCCTGTCTCCATCCTCTTGGCACCCTCCCTTCAGATACTTAGAGACATTGATGAGGTTCCCTCTCAGTTGTCTCTTCTAGACGCTGAATAGGCCCGAGTCTCCCAGCCTGTCCTCTTAAAGAGAGATCATAGGATGAACCAGGTTGGAAGAGACCTCAAAGATCATTGAGATGCTCCAATCCCTTAATCATTTTCACAGTTTTTCTGCATTTCATCAAAGGCTTTGTAAGATGATGAAACAACTGGATATTGACATTGATAACAATGTAGTGTGAGACATCTTCTGCTCAACGTGCTTTGCAATGATTTCAAATCTTCTTAGAGGAGGGTTTGGGGGTTTGGGACCTATGTCTTCCCTCCTCCAGAGAGTGCCTGAGAAATCCATCGCTCTTCCATGCAAAGCAGCACAGTTGCAAGAGGTTGCTGCAGGTGTCATCACCTCAGGATAATTTCTGATCATTGACAACTCCTTGACACATGTGGGTTCAGCTCGTCCCAGGTGTGACCTGTATTTTCCACACTGCAGGTTATAAACTGGGGTCTGGGAGTTGAGCCTAGGATGGAGAGCCTCCCCAGCCCTGGGGTGCTTCAGGGAGCAGAGTTGTGAGCCCCAGCCCGAGGGAGCTGAGACATCAACATTGGGAGCTCAGTGTGGGACTCACTAAGAGGCACTTCTCTGAGGACATGGTGCTTCCCAGGCACCTTGCTTACTCTTTAAATGCTCCCCTCTCAGCTGACATTTCTAGCTGCACACAGACATCTATGCAGCCCAGGCATGCACAAGCAGCCCATCAGCATAAGGGGATTAAAAGCAGTTCTGTTCTTCCTCAGAGGATAATTGTGAGGAGAAATGCATTAAGAGCACAGAAATGTCAGGGTAATGAGGACTATGTGGAAGCATACAGAGAAAGGCAGAAAATGCACACAACTAGGAGCTTTTTAAAAAGGGAGTGGGCATTTCTAATGAAAACAAGATTATCTAGCACTGAAATAATACAGGGTAGAAATAGAAAATAATTTTAGAAGCTGTGTAAACCCATGGGCCAGTAAGAAACAGGATTTGGTATCTTCCAGTGTGATTTCTTGTGCATCTTTCTGAGTGCCTAGTCTGGGCCAGTGGGGAAGGGAACTGAGCCAGGTGGATTAGGAGTCACCTATACCTCCATATTAGTAATCTTTATATTCCAGACATTAATGACTGCACATAAGCTGTCAGGAGTGATAATCACTATTCAATCCCATATATATATGGTTATTTTTCATGTAAACAAACTGTGATAAACCATCAAGGAGCACATGTGACAAGCCTGGTGTTACACCCTGTCTCTGCCATTTGTCAGTCTCATTTATTGTGCTGAGGAGCAACCCAGTCTCGCCATCATTTTGTTTTATGACTAATTTGGTTGATCCTGCCTTTCAAGAAGAGCAAGGACTAGATAAGGATAGCCACACTTCTCCCATTTTCTGTGATCTCATCCAATTTTACATAGCACTTGCTGATGGATGTGTTTCCTTTGACTTCACTGCAACATTTTGTGTTTTTCAGGATAACACCAGGAGGGTAGAGTTGACCTTGAGACTGTCTGCTCCTTCATGCAAACATTTTGTCATCTTTGAAATGCCTTCTGTTCTGGAATCTTAGAAAACAGCAACATTGAAACTTTTCAGAGAATATTAAAATCATTAGCTTTATCACAATACAATAAATAGTTCCATCACTCACTGAAAACTGACTTCTGCAGCTGACAGTAATGAAGTAGAACTTCAGTTGCTGACACAGTCTAGGGGTGAACATAATCAAAGGAGGAGCCAGGAACCACTAGTTTTTCAAATCACTTATTTTATCAGCTTTGTTTTTCTCTCCCATAGAAGAAAACCCAACAAACCAACAAACAAATGTCAAAAAAAAAATCCCACCCTCACAATCAATACATGTACAATAAAAAGAAGTCAATATTTGATAGACAAGTATGATCATAGTGATAATATGTGTTGAAGGCTGATGCATCTGAGAAAGGCAAGACCTTTTATTGGCTCCAAATGTGGAACTGCCCATAAATTATCAGGCTGTTGAGTTTACTATTTTGATTGCTTCTTATACCTACCTACCTACCCACCTACCTACCTACCTACCTACCTTCTTCTACCTAGTCTTTTCCTAAGGTGCTTCTGCAGATTTCTTGGGGTGAATGCTGCCAATTCCTCTGTACATCTTGCAATTGGAAAAAAAAGGTTTTTTCTTCCTAATTGTGTAGTTCAGGATTTAACATATTGAGTGTTGATCGCTGTAAGTGATGCCTGACTGATAACATATTTTACTTGTGTAGCTATTTGTGATGTGTATAACAGGAAGTTCAGAATATCGAGCTAAATAATTACTCAGTGAAGAGCCTTTTGGTAGATTTAATTCTTTCCCCTACCTAACTGAGCATGTAGATACAGACAGTCCCATTGACTGATTCGTTATTAAATCTCATTTAAGGTGACTGAAATTCTCATGGAGTTGCATGTGCTGTGTTAATGGTCTCTTTCCCCTCTGCTATTCACTGGTATTGCTCATGGCATTGGCTGTTGCTCACCATCCTTCAGGAAACAAGTGTCCCCTCAAAGAATGGGAAAAGGAACATGGCCCTGAAGGAAAATATTTTAACTAAATGCCACCATATACAAAATATTGCTTGTTTTGTATGGTACTTACATAGGCATTTCTAGCCCTAAATGGAATTTTTAAAAAATTAATAATAATTGCTTATATGTCCACAATTTTACATTTCTTAATGTTAACATTTCTTAACTATTGGACTTGGAAATAGACAGTATTATGGAAAAGAAGATTGTCAACTATAATCCTCTGAAAGCAATTAATAAATGTAATAGAATTTGCGTGCTTTTGAAACAAATCCCCCTTCCTCACTCCAAGGTTACAGTGATAGTAGCTGCACTACACATTGGTAGGCACTGCTGCAGCTCCCCAGCACACCTCCTCTAATGGGGTTTGAAAGCCTGCTCTTGTCAGTGTAATCTCTCTCTCTAAAATTAAGTTTGATGCAGCAGGAGATAGCAAACGCAGAGGGAGAGGGAGATATTTCCTATGGGTAGCAGACCTGAGTCTTTCTCCTTTATACTGAGCACCAGGTTGTAGACAACACTAACACAGAGAACTTGGTCATCTGAGCACCATGACAAGAAATATTTAGTACCAAAAAGAGGAATTGATTTCTTGGGGAAAAAAAATATAATGGGTCCTAAATGTGAAATAACCTCTTTGCATGTATCTGTGGCCCTGGCATAGTGTTCCTGCATGGGTGACTGAAGCATATCTGATTATACCCTGCTGATTTGAGAGAACTCATGTATTTTTCCACTCTCTTTTTACAGCTCCCAAGTCTACCTTTTGTCCCACTGAAGAGACCTGGTGGCCAGGCCTGGTTATTATCATTGCAGTATGCTGCGCCACACTAGTGTTCCTCTTTGTAGTTGTCATCATTTGCTACAAAGCCATAAAAAGGTAAGACTCCAGATGCCTTTACTGGGCTTAGGGCACTCAGCCCCACAAAGGTTGACCTAAGACTTGCCTGACACCTTGTTTTTTTAAAGGCATCCTAAAGATAAAATTCATCCTGTAGTCAACATGTGTTTTCATCCCAAAGTCACTTGATGTATTGTATCCTGCCTGTGTAAAGGGTGAATTTCAATACACAGTCATGGGCATGAGGAGGAGAAAACCTAGAAATGAGATAGAGCTACAGTGTTCACATTAATATGAACTTGCATGAAGTCAAATTGCTGCAGGTTGCTGGGGAATATCAAGAGCTTTGGCTTGGCCAAGTGTAGAGGTAGGAAACACTGTCCTGTCCACTTCTGGTAGTATTCAAAATTCATACATGGAATGTGAGATTTTTGGCCCAGATGCATAACTAATTTTAGCATTTCAAACTGATGCAAACTCTTTTAACTCAAACTCTAGGCTAATTTGTGAAGTTTTTCATTTGAAGACTCTACTTCTAATTTATTCTTGCTTCAAAATTGTAATCTACAGAACAAAATTCAAATCCTGTCTCTTTTAATGTCAAAGCCTCTTGAAGCCTATGTACAACATGGTGTATAGTAGCAATTTTAGCTCACTGTCTTTGCAATAGCTGTGCTTGCCTAGGTCTTGAGTATTTAGAAAGTATTGACTTCAGTTACCCAGAAAAATGGGAGCAGGAGTAATGTCTTTACTTAAATAACATTTCATATTTCTGAAGGAAAAAGTCAAAACTTGAACATTTTTGTATGAAGGCTCCAACTGCAAGTCCAAAGGGTCAATTTAGAGAAGAAAGTAACTTGTGGGAATTGTAGGCCAGGTGGATGAAGGTTCTTTTCTTCTCTATTGTTTTAGTATGGCTCTGACAACACCCCACAGTTGAGGCTTCATGGTGTTACTCCTTTATACCATGGGGGTCTTGGGCAGGAGCTGTTAGTACAGCCAGATGACCCAGCCTGCGGTAGAGAATGCAATATGCCACCAGAAACTGCAGTGACTTGTGAATCTCAGCTTGGATTAAATGACCTTTTTTTCAACTTAATGATTTTTGAGCAGTATTTTGGGAGGGGATAAAAAAGGAAAATATCTTTCATGAAAAATGTTATCTGCATGCAAAGCCATTGCAAGATTTTTGATGAGCGTCATCAAGGATATCGATATGGTGGAACCTTGGACATGCTTTGTGGTTGTTGGAAAAATTTATGCAGGGTTCGAAAGCAAATCAAAAAAGGAGAATTCAAACAAGAAGACACAAGTCTCTCTTTTATTTCTTATTAAATTTACATAAGTATCTTTGCTATTCAAGTTTAGCTAAAATGAATGTTTATTATTTTGGGGGAGCTGGAAAGCTTGCACTCTAGCAACGGCACTGTTAAAAAAAATGATCTCTGGAGGACTGAGATCAGAGTCCAATTGAACTGGTACCACAGTGCAAAATCTCTTCATTTGTAGTTCCTGATCTACCATTGCTGCTCATTTGTATGTATCTGCCTACTGCCAAATTGTGTCAAGGCTGCAAAACATACGTATGGGAGCAGTAACTCTCCAGGGCAACTCATGCCTAGCAAGGAATTGCTTTTCAAGTGTGCTGTGATGCTGGTAGATGGGAGGAACAGAAACCAAATTTAAACAGGCAAATTTAAAGATGCTTCGCAAAGGTTTGGGGAATTCACAGAGTCTCATGCTTCATGTCAGTGAAGAATAATCACGATACTTGATGAAGACACCCATTATTTGTCAACAGTATGCATATCAACATACAAGTCTGCTGCTTGTATGTTGATTAGGCTCAGAGGCATTAGGCTCAGAGAAAAGTGAAAATTCCTCTTAGATCTTCTTACTGTTCACATTCACACTGCTGACAAGTGCTAAGCTGAAAAGTGCTCGGGTGTGGGATGGACAGCTATGAAAGAAAATCTTATTAATTATAATTTCACAGAGTAACTAGAGCGTTTCTTTTCATCAATGAGTCGTTCCTAAAACAGCTCTGCTAAGAGAATGCTCTAAAGTGCCTGGCAGCATTCCCCAGTAGTTCAGGTTTCTTGATCCACTGTAAAGGATATCTATTGATAAACACTGGGAAATAAGATCAGATGCTTCACATGAGAAGCATCTCTGCCTTCAACAGAGTATTATCACATATAGTTGAGCTGAAATGGCTTTAGTGTGAGAAATCCTTCACTCTGTTTTTTTTGCTGGGAGGTAGAAGTGGCTAGAGAAAGAGTAAGGGGATTACTTTGGGTGGTGCTGAAACCACAGGCAGTCCCTGTAGCTTTCAGACCCACAGGTGAACCACTAACACCAGTGTGTTCCCAGCCTCCAGCTCCATAACCATGCTCTGCCCCATCCTTCTCACACCTGCATCCCACCACCTCTCCTCTGCAGTCCTCCTCCTGGGCCCTCCATCCTGCACATCTGGAACTGGGAGCTCTGTCATTGCAGCATCTCTAACAAATCTGTCTCCTACCTCCACTAAAGAGATGCTGAAGAGTGAAATAACAGCAGTCATCTGGTTGTAGAGTGTAACAAGGGTTAAATGTTTTAGTAGGAAAGCGCAGGAAGGGATTTATTTGTACAGTGGTTGGATCTGTTGTATTAATCCCTCACTTTCATAAGAATCAAATTTGAAGTAGAAAGAAAAAGAAAAATCCTATTGTGCTTAAGTTAAAATCTCATTTACTGATTTCAAAGGGCCAGACCCAGTCAAACTCTCTCATGTCTGCTTTTATGTAGCAAGAAGAGAGGGAGTGACTGTCCTCGAGGTATCATAACTCAACTGCATTTTTATTCGATCTGTATATAACCTGTTTCTCCTGGAGCAGTTTGTTTTCCCTCATAAAAACTTAAACATTGGCATGTCACCAATTTTAGGCACCAAGGTGTTTTGTGATAAAATACAACCTAGTGAATTGGTGCTTCTTTGTACATAACTACCTGAGCCAATCAAGCATGCTGCTGCCTCCATCCCTGCATCTCCCCTGGGAATACTCAGGTTCTCCCAGTATGGAACGGTCATAAGTGAGGTTAGGAAATCCAGTGAATAGAGTTGACCTCTCTGGTCCATGAGGGAACAAATACCAAATTGTGTCCATCAGCTTTAGTATCCAGAGAAATGTTAGACGGGTTAAACTCTAGGGAAGATACAAGTGGACTGATACTTCAAAGGCTCTTCAAGCAACCTCTAAATTTTCTCTGTGTGTTGCTGGTGACTACAGTGCTGGGCACTGCATGATCAGCACACCAGGTACAGATGTGTGCTGCTGCATAGATCCAGCACCAGAGGAGATCACACATGATGCTGTGTTGTGCTGTAGCATGGTTACACACATGGTGGTAGCACCCTCAGTCTGGCAGTGAAGAAACAGCTATTTTCTTTGGTCTTGGTGTCAGAGGAATATTTTCATTTCTTAAAAAAATGCAGATTTTCTCTTAGGAATCTTTTCCATAGCACATTAGAAAAAAAAAATTAAATTGTCACTTAGCACCATATCTGGCATTTGTAGATTTCTAGGACAGGCTTAATCACTGCTGGGGCTCAGCCTCACTGTAAGCAACAGGACTTTTCCACTCATTTCATGGGCAGGGAAGGTGATCTCACAACCAGCAATTTCTGTGACACATAGCAAGAACAGATAACTGGTTCAAAATCTAGAATACCTCCAGGTATTTGTCTATCATGTCTCTGTCTGTAAAAACCTGCCATTCTTATGCTTTGCCTGGAAGACTGTCACCAGCAAGTAAGAGCAGGAGATCCAAGGACAGTTCATAAACTTAGGTTTGGAGGAAGCTGGATCATTTCAGTATTACATCATTTGTGGGCTTGGGCAAGTGCACTGTGAATACCAGCAGCTCTAACAAATCTTCATCTGGTGTAAATCAGTGCATATTCAAAAACAATCAGTGGAGCTCGATTCATTTCAATCAGCTCTGGAGGTGACTGTTTCTTAAGCTTTGTTTAACATCTGCAAGCACTTGAATAATAGTAGGACAGTAAGACTGGAGGGAAGTGGGAAGGAACCACAGCAAAGAGGATTAACGAGAGTTGTTTGGTAAATAAGCAACTGAGATGGGAGAGAGAGGGACCTGCAGTATGCAATCCTGTTTCTGCAGCTCACTGGTGTGTCAGTGTCTGTAAGAGGAGTAAGATATTTACATAAAAGGGAAAAATAAATCCCTGGCTCCCTGTATGAAATTAAGATACAGGGGCCATCTCTCAAACCTCAAAGGGGAAAGCAAAGCTGAGCATCCTGGTCTCTGTGACAAGTGATGCACCAGCTATGCAACCTGGCAGAAGGTGTTTCAGATGTTTTTCCAACTTGTGAAAAACCTATGCTTAGTATCTCCAGAACATCCATACAATCTGAGATGACGGATGAGCAGCTCATTCTGTCTAGGAATACTGCTCTTTGGCTTTGCTGGATTTTAGGGAGGATGGATACCTCTGTTCTCAGATGTACCACAGGGTTTGCTGCCAAAGAGCCTCGTTGCTAAGTCAGCAGGGAAAGCAGGCTGATGATAGCCAAGTTTTACATGATACACCATTTATTCACTGTTCTACCTTTGTCAAGCCACTGTTTTATATGGGTCCTATAGCCTGAAAGGAAGGTACCATAAATGCCTACATATGCACTTCCTTAAATAGGCACTGAGTTCACCTTCAAATAATAATTAAATGCAGGAAAACATTGTACTGAAATAAAATGACGGGTCATATTTAAACTGTCTTAAAATCCATTGCTCAGGTATTTTCAGGGTGCTTAGCATTAGGGTATGATTTATGGACCCTGTATACTGCAAGGTCTAGTTTAAGAAGCAGAAGCAAAATCCTGAAATTTGCCTTTGTAACAAAATGAGGCAGATGCTTGTGAGGGGAAAACACTGAGGGTTTCTTAAGGATGCCAAAAAGTGGCAGTGGGATCTGTGGTGAGGGTGTCCCATGGTGCAGGGATTTATCTCCCACTAAACAGGCCATGACCATGCAT